TATTTTTACTTTCCTCACGATTTTGTGACCAATGGTCTCAGCTGCCCATCATCACAGGTGACAGACAGCTGGAAATCAAGGAAGCAGGAGCTTTGACAATTGCACTGCGGAATTGGTTCTCAAAGGGCAGCTTTCACCAATCTCAAGAGGCAATTTAGCTGGAAACAAGTGAAATGGTGTGGAACAGAGAAACCTTTTAGCTATGTCCCAATCAACCACCCCCATATCAGTAAAAGATCTCTTCTCTAGTATTATTTCTGAAACTTGTGGTCCATGGAGGCTTTTCCGTTATGGGAATCACTGAACTGACAAGATCTGCACCTTATCCATCGCCTCCATAATGAGATTCCTCGCTGTGTAAAGAAAGAGAATGTCAGACATAGCAAACACTTTAGAATAGGACGATTCAGGCTTCCTGAGCAGAACGGAACTGAGAGGTAATATTTGCCGTGGATAAACATTACAGACAGGGAGAAAATCTGCTTAACACTTAGGGAAGAGTGTGTAGTGTTTAAAGATGGATATTGTACACAGAGAAACAAGGGCTCTTAAAAGTGTAATTTAAAGGAAAGTCACAGTAAATACCATGTTGCTTTTAAACAATACAAAAGTGCTAAAACTTCCACTACTTACTGTATAAGGTGTTAGAGAAATAAAGCTGTGGAAAGACATAGAACAAGCTACATTCTAAGGACCTCTTTTGCAGTGTTATCCGTAGCCTTTAAGCTAAACCGCCTCCACCACAGCAGCATAAGATGTTCTGAAGCTGTAGGAGTCGGTTGTGAGCAGCATCCTGATTTATTGACGATGTGTGAGATATAACATCAATATCATCAAACTGTTTCTTCTGCTAGCAGAAATAAACACAGAAGCCTCACTGTTTGTGATGATCTCCAACCAACATGTAGAAAGAATGTACATACTGGATGGGGGGCTATGGTACAGTGATGATTGCATGAAAATGTGCAGGTGATGCTTTTGCTTTATAATCAAGAGGTTCCAAAAGGGATCAAATAAGTTTGTAGAGAAAAAAAAAGACCCCAAAGGGACCAATAAACCTAAAGCAAAAGACACTTATAAACTTCTGTAGTGATAGAACTGCTCTCTACCCATCCAATTTTGTGTCCTTCTGAGATGCTTTCTTATCTACCGTTCTCACTACCTGCCCTTCAAACACTACCTAACCTTTTTCACACATAACTATTTCCACAGCCTGCCCTTCTCTCATTGGCTACCGTTATCACCAAATAACTCCAATTACTTCACCTGCTGTCTTCCCATGTGTCTTACTTTATAGCATTTCTTCTAATTGCCTTACACACTGCATTGATTCATTTTGTTGTCTCCACTTATCTTGTAATACTACCTCTGCTTGCACTTTTCACTTCTGCCTTCTACCCATGCTTCTCAGATTCGTGCCCGTCTCACTTATTTTGCTCTTCTACCATTTTCTCTTTTAACTTCTCTACCCTATCTAATGTCTGCTCTTCTCACTTCTTCTGCCCTTCTTATGTTCTACTCCTCTCACTTCTTCTGCCCTTCTACTGTCTGTTCTTCTTACTTCTTCTGTCCTTCTACTATCTGCTCTTCCCACTTTTCCTGCCTGTCTATGTCCTACTCCTCTTACTTCTTTTTTCCTTCTACTGTCTGCTCTTTCCACTTCTCCTGCTCTTCTGCTGTCTGCTCTTTTTACTTCGGCCTTCTACTGGTTGTTCTTCTTACTTTTTCTGCCCTTCTACTGTCTGATCTTCCCAGTGCTCATGCCTTACTTTGCTCTACTCCTCTCACGTATTCTGTCGTTTTACTGTCTGCTCTTCCCACTTCTCCTGCCGTCTATGTTCTACTCCTCTCACTTCTTCTGCTCTTCTACTGTCTGCTCGGCTTACTTCTTCTGCCCTTCTATTTTCTGTTATTCTAACTTATTCTGCCCTTTACTGTTTGCTCTTCCCACTTCTTCTGCTCTTCTATTGTCTGCTCTTCTTAGATTTTCTGCCCTTCTACTGTCTGTTCTTCACACTGCTCCTGTCCTTCTATGTTTTACTCCTTTTACATCTTCTGCCCTTCTACTGTCTGCTCTCCTTACTTTTGCTCTTTTACTATCTGTTCTTCTTACTTCTTCTGCTCTTCTACTGTCTGCTCTTCCTACTTCTGCCCATCTATGTTCTACTCCTCTCACATCTTCTGCCATTCTACTGTCTGCTCTTGCAACTTCTCCTGCACTTCTACTGTCTGCTCTTCTCATTTCTCCTGCACTTGAACTGTCTGCCCTTCTACTCTCTACTCTTCTAATTTTTTATGCCCTTCTAACCTTTTCTGCTCTTCTTTTATGTGCATTTCCCACTATGCAGTCAGTCTCATTTCTCCTTCTCAACTTTAACTTAGTCCCTTTAGTTTTTCTGCCCTTTCACCTCATCATAATTCACTCTAATTCAATCTAAACGTGCTCACTGTCATTTCATCCAACCCCCCTATGTATTGCACTCATCCTAGTTCTTTCATCTGCCCCTCATTCCACCCCGGATACTCCACCGTCCTCTTTCATTACATCTTGTTATTATGCTTCACCTTCTATCTGCCATTCACATTCTGCTCTTCTCAAGATGCCTGATTCATTGACCTTCAATTTTCCCACTTATGACCAAAAATAGCCTATCCTAGATTTGGCCTTTTAATTTGGTCTGCAGTGTTCAAACCAAAGGTGTTCCATAACCTTTACTCTCACTCTACCTGTCCCTATTTTTATCCCTATGCCTGCTCCTCTTACAATGCCTGCTGTACAGTATCTCCTAACTTAATTTCCTTTCTTACTCCATCATTTAGCCAGTGCATACCCCATACCAGCATATTTCATTTTTATTTCTGCACCCCAATTTGATCTCAAACATTTTTTTCCTGTAGAAAAGAGCAAATAGGTGATGAGACCTTCCATGAGACACCCCATAATTATTGTGGGCAGAAAGTATCCCAGTCACACATCTCCTGCAGAGTATACCTTTTTCTTGCTTTCATCCACCTCAAGTTTTTTTTTTCCTTTCTCTATCTTTTGTCTCTCTATTGCATTCCTGTTGTAATTTCCCAGCTGGTCACAACTATTTATCGTTCATATCTAATGAGCCTTGAAAGATACTTAAAAAGCCATTCAATCCCACTTATTACGTTGGTGATATAAACAACACATATCTTGTAGTAAACACAAATCACTGAGATTTAAAATGAATTTTATGATGTCTTAATGGTTAGCACTGTAGACTCAGGTTTTGAGTTCATTTTCCACCAGGGATACTGTCTATGTGGAGATTATGTGGGTCTTCTCCATATGATCCAGTTTGTATCCACAAAACCTGAACATATTGGTGGGTTGCTCAGCTTCCTTCTAAACAGCCTATAGAGAATGTATATTCCCGTGGGCATATTAGATGGCAAACTCCTCTGGAACAGGAATAAACATACAAGATACATTGTTGCTGCATAAATTATATCATGAATACATAAATAAATACATTAAAACTGTAGAATGTACTCTTCCTGGAGAAACAGACATGAATCACTTATATCAGTGCTTCCCAGTAATTAACAATTTCACCCCTAACAAAATGCACATTTTGCTTCAATATAATACCTTCCTTAAGGAGAAACTGGTGTTTTTTTATCAGTTTTATTTTAATTTTGTATTTATTTAAATAATTATTGTATTTTAAAAAAATACTGTTTATTTGTGTAAAATCTATATTTTACAAATTAAAATGGGTGCAGTGTATGGTGTACTTTCTAAAAAAAAAACCCAGTACCTGCTCTACTACAGGCTAAAAACCTAGGTAGCAGCCTTACTACTTGAAGTAAGAGGGATGGATAGCCCTCCACTGAGTCATTCAGCAGGCTCATGTATGTCTATAGTCACAGGTCTGTATTCACACTAGAATAGGTAAGCCAGCTAGCAAAAACCCCGGAGTAGCACGCTCTCCATCTGCCGCCTGCATAAGGGTAAATACAAAATATATGTATTAAGTATTTTGTATTACCCTGGTTAAAAATGATAAAAAATACTTCTAATAATTGTATTTTTTACTTCTGGATGATATAATACATAAAGAAAATACATAGGAAAACACTGCAAGTTCCCTTTCATGCCAGTTTTGAACCCTTAATGCTCTTTTATTCCTGTGAAACGTTTCTTCCACATTTAAGTATTTAAGGAAAATACTATGTAACTATGTAAGTTGCTGACTTGGATCAATAAATAAACTGCTGCTTTAACAAAATACTTGGTGTAGCAACCTATTTTTAGCTACATATTGTTTATTCTGTACAGTGATAAACTGCAACACACATTAACCCACAGCAACCATGGTAAACTGCAACTTGCATTAACCCAAAGCAACCAATCAGAAATGGTCTTTTCATTTATTTTAAAACTGTGATGAACTGTAAATTGTGTTACACAAAGCTTTAGTTCAGAAGTTATCTTACAAATGTTCTGAAAACGGTGATCTGAAATCTGCAATGGATGTTATAGAGCTTTGCAGAAGGTGTTACTGCACAGAGCACTGGCTACCTGAATAAACTCAAAGTCTGTCTAAAGCTGAAAGGACCATGGCAGTTGATACATAAAAAAGATTAAAAAAACGCACTCATACTCTCACATATTTGTAAATCTTAGCCGAGGGTTGTGTATAAGGAGTTCAAACTGTCCCTCTTTTCACCTGGTTATCAGATTCTCCTGCATACTCCATCCAGAAGGCCGATGCACTCTTCCTGCTGTTAATTAGAAGCCTTCATTCTCATGCTTTGGAGCTGATTCATTAAAACTGGAGAAAAGAAAGCAAGCATTGTGACCTTTAGCAACTAACTAACTTTCATCTTTAATTGCATGGAAAATAAAACAAAAATTATGATAGGTTTCCTGTGGGCAACGACACTTTTGTTCTCGTTTTCCTTTTTTCCAGTTTCAGTTAAAATTCCCTTCTGCACCCTCAGAATTATGTTTTATTTCTGTTTTACAGAATGATCCCCCCAAGCAACAGAAGTTTCCTCGTAAATGACTTGGCTCCAGGCCGTGAGTATGACCTATGCGTCTTGGCTGTCTATGATGACGGAATGACCTCCTTGACAGCCACACGAGTGGTGGGATGTGTCCAGTTCACCACTAAAGAAGAGGGCGGACAGTGCAGGCCACTTCATACCCAGTTCCTGGGGGGCACTATGATTATCATAATTGGAGGAATCATTGTGGCTTCTGTTCTGGTGTTTATTATCATCCTCATGATCCGATACAAAGTGTACAGTGGCCAGGAGGAAGGGGGCAAAGCCAGGGTCAGCAACGTTTATTCCCAAACCAATGGGCAGCAAGGCATGGCCTGTGCCAACTCCTGTGCCAAGTTGGGAGAAAATAGCTATGAACCTTTACCCCCATCTTCCAAAGATTCCCCCCGGGAGAGCAAAGAACCTGGTAAACGAGAGTGCCAACCACGTTCACCTCCTCTGGCCCTACTGACTGAAAAGGACAAGAGGAGAACTAAGACCTCCAATGATCTCCAGACAGTTGCTCTGTTATCTTCTCTCTCTGCGGAAGGAGACCACACAGAGACCAGTGCACTTGGCTCCACCACCTCACTATGTCTAGTCACTACTGACGGGCACAACCGTGTGGGCACCAAGGCACCTCCCAGGACTTATCAACATAGATTCTCATTTGATGGGGACTACACCCTGTTCCAGAGCCACAGTTACCCTCGCAGGGCACGGACAAAGAGACACATGTCCACCTCGGAGTTGCACAACCAAGAAGCTGCCCTGGGACATCGGAGAGTCACGTTTAGCAGCACAGAGTGGATGCTGGAGAGCACCGTGTGATTATCTTTCAGGGAACGGATTACCTGAGGGGTTAGGTGACATGGAAGGGCACTTCCTTTGAAACCTCATGGTCTCAGTGTTCATGTTCGGGGCTGATCCAACTCGGATATGCGACTGAAGCATTGCATAACTATGCCTAATGTTTCAGTACACTTCCTAAGTGGTGAAAAAAAAAAGAATGTTTTTCATTTTTTGTCAAATTTTTTGCCAAGTTTGATGTTAGGTTCTCTGATACACCCAAAACATTTAGCATTCATATTGTGTAATCGAGAGGACCTGTATCGATTCCAGAAGTGTACAGATGTATTCTGCATCGTTATGTAATGCTTTTGCATCTGAATGGCTGTCGGCACTGCTTTCTTGAAAGGTTTTAAAAGCTATGTGTTTTTACAGATCCCGCACAGCAGTGCTGCTCTCACCCGCATAATGAGACAAACAACCAATCAATTCATGTTCTTGGTGTCCATGGTTACCAGGTTCTTAAAGCATATAAGAAATTAATGACGAGACCCTTCTCCTCGCCCCTATAAAAATGGATCCACCGTTTTGCCCTCTCTGTCTCTGGCTTGGGGATCTAGAGGGCTGTTGTTCTGCTTGGGTTATAGTAGAAATGTACTGAGCCCCTGAAGCAGTGCCTTAAAACAAGTGAGAGACCAGCACCCAGGCTTTCTGATACCCTGTGTGAACCTTGATGTGACTTGAGGGTGGACATGCTGGTTCATCTAGGAAACAGGACATATGCACAAACGACACGATACCCAAACCTACTGTACAAAGCATTCCTGCACGGAGGAGACAGAAAGCATAAGAGGATTTTATTGGTCATGATCATGGGGGTCCTGGCACCACTTATACAATCTGTACATCTAGCTGGTCTGGATCCTTTCTGAGTCACTCGAGTCAGGAGCCTTTCTGGGACTTGAGCAGGAAGTGAGAGATAATCCAGAATATTGTCTACACACAAGTTTTTACATTAAAAACGTGTGTCACCCTCCCTCTCCCCAGTACATATAGCATGGAGGAGAGAAAGAGATGCCAGTGGGTGCAGTGGGAAATTAAAGTCCTTTCTGTTACTGCTCTCTGTGTCTGTTTTTTTTTTATTGCATACTTGGTAGCATTTACATGATTATAATGTGCCCACTGTGTGAAAGTGTCTGAAAGAACTAAGTGGAGCTTATTGCAAGTAATCAGATTCTTTGTCTCATGCTTCTGATACCAGTAGGAAAATCAAAGCAGAAACTGACTGATATCTAAGGCAACATCGGTTCATTCCTGATTCTTCAATCTGCAACATCACCTTAGATGTGCTACTGTAAATAACACTAGAGGCATGCTAAAATGACATGCTATACTAATCGGTCCACTTTAACATGCCTTAAGCATACTTTATGGTGCCTTAAAGAGACCCTGTCACCAACTAAAAAATTGCAGGTAAATGCAACAGTTAAAAGCGAACTATGGGGTAAGTGTTTTTCCCCATAGTTCTCTTTAGGGTCACAAGAGGACATATACTAACCTCCTCCCGTGACCCAAAGCTTAGTATATCGTGGGCTATTGCCCACGATATACTGAGAGGGTCACAGCCAGGACGGATCCGGACAATACTGTCGGGATCCACCCAGCTGCATGAGTGGCAGCTGGCTCTGCCTATCTAGAGGCAGAGCCAGCTTTGCCTGCCCCCTCCCCCATCCGTTCCTCCACTCAGCGCTGGAGGATTGGAGAGGGGTAATCCCTGCCGGGAGTGGTGACTGCCAGTCACCGCTCTCTGCAGGGAGATGATCGGAAAGTGAGCTAGCGTCAATATGGGTTCGCTTACTTCCCGATCAAAAGAGCCGGCCTGTGACAGCTTCTTTGTCACAGGTTTTGTTCCTCCACTCAGCACTGGAGGATCGGAGACAGGAGGGGGGAATCCCTGCGGGGAGCGGTGGCTGACAGTCACCGATCACTGCAGGGAGACGATCGGGAAGTGAGCGGATCGGCTGCATGCTTCTGCTCACTTCCCAATCAATAGAGCCGACCTGTGACAGCTTCCTTGTCACAGGTCGGCTCTATCTATGAGGATGAGTGGTAATCACTCACCTCATAGATCTCCTTTAAATATTGTAATTGCTTATTTGCAGTGTTTGCCCTTTTCTTATATATCATTTTATTGACGTTGAATCTGCCTTTAAAGTTGTAAAAAAATGTGACTACACAGGTAAGTGTCAATTCTCTAGCACAGCCCCTCCCTCCTTGCATGTCATAGCCCTCTCCACTTCTGGAAGATTGTAATTACTGTTCTGATCCAGCATCTCCACTCCTTCCCTCCCCTGCCTACATAACCTTTTATGTAGCTGCTGGGGAAGCTGAGAAGGGAAATACAATAGGGTGTCACTTAAGTGGCAGCTCTGTGGCAGCTGCCATTACAACCAAAATGGATGTCTACACAACGGAGGCTTTTACAGTTAAATAACATGAATAAACTACCTTGAATGCACATATAATCTTATGGGAAGATTTTTGTTGAAATGAATGGTCTGGCAACAGCGTCTGCTTGAATCTTTAAGAAAAACATAGTAATTGAAAAAGCATATTGCACAAGTCTCTTACATATTCAGAACCGTTCATAATACTTAGAGTCCAGCTAAAAATGTAAATGCAAGAAAATGTTAAAACATTAAAAAATGATCTATAATGTACCTATGTTTACAATTTCATACCACTATTTTTTTTACAAACCTACAACATTACACTGCCCCATATTTCACCAATGGGGTGTGCCCGGGGGCCTGCTATAGAACTGAAGCTTTTCACTGGCATGAGATGCGAGACTCTCAGTCTGACCATTTTTAGCTTTAATATGAGGACATTATACAACAACACGTGCTTGGTTCATGAACTTTCCATGCACATATTGCTTTTGCTGATTAGTAAAAGAAGGTGCAGCTGCTTTCTGGTGTCTTCTATATTAGGTGGACATATTAGCTTTACATCTTAGTTCACAGGTTCATTTTATGATATCAACCACTATAAAGTTATGGATAGGGGGTCTCATTAATGCAAAGCAAAATGCAACAAATTCATATTTTGTAGGAGCCTGCCTCTCACCTGCATACCACCATTCACATATCATATTGAAATGTGTTAAAGGGTCATTTACTGTCTTTAAATAAAACAAAATAAAAAAAACTGCTGCTGGTAGAGGTGACCCCCCCTCCTTTAGGAGTTGCTAGTTGTTAAGGCCACATTCACATCTGTGTGTTCCGTGAACGTGCGGCAGAAATGCACATGTCAGCGTGGATTCATGGGGACATGGACTAAATGCAGAACACGCTTGCGGCACCATTTCTACCTAATGGCACCCCAAATGTGGCCAGGCAAACGCTTGGCTTTCCCGTGCATTCAAGTGCATTAAAACGTATGGGAAAGCCACACTATTTTCTACGTTTGGCACGCATTCTGGACTCAATTCAAATCAATGAGTACATGCACCAAACGTGGGAAACAAGCGCCCTTGAACGTACTCAAATGCACGTCACTCTGACTTCTTGGCTTCATGAAACGCAAAGGTGTGAATGCTGCCTAACAGCCTATCCTGCCTTCCTACTGGTGACCTGCCCTGTAGCTGTATCCAACAGCACACCAAGCCTCCAGTAGAGATAGCCAGGTTTCATACTCCTTCTAGAGTTTAAATATTTATTTGCGCAAGGATTTGGGAAGAGAGGGTTAGGGCACAGGACACCCTAAAATAGACTGCAAAAATATCTCTGGCTTTCAAGTAACAGTGAACTGATAGTGGCCCTTGAAGAGCAGTCTTCCACCACCAGCAAAATTCATGGAGGATTTGAAGTCTCAGAAGCATCCTCTCAAGAATACATTGGTTCCTCTGACTTCAATATAGCAACACAGTACCTTGAAAAGATGTACAACAGACTCCTCAGAAGATACTCCATGTGGCCAGCTATCCTCCTATTTCCTTGGCCAGTTTGTGGACCTTTATGCCCAAACAGGTAATACCTTCTACTTTTTCAGACAGGTCAATGAAGGTCTCTGCCACAGGCCAATTAGGCCAATCTAGATCCAGACAGGAAGCTAGGAAACAAACTCTTCTTCTTTTGGCTCCCCATCCCACCAGATAGAACAGGGACCCTCACATTGGATTTTTTTCCAGGCAGCATCACGGGAAGGAAGTACCTTCCTTATCAGGCAGACAAGACCCTTCTAGAAGGTTGCTCCAAATATATAATTTTATTTAAATAACAAAAATAAAACTTAAAGTGATTGACTAAGGCAGAATAAATATTCATAACTCATTACATTGTTTCTTCTCATACTGAAAGCTGGAGAACACTGAACAGCAGCAGGCAGAAGTAATCAATGTCCCAGGTTTATTAAAACCCCATTGAACACAGAAAACATAAACAAAGAAACACTGATAAACCAAGAGAGAGAGAATCTTTACACACAGCACAATAAAAGAAATATGGTGTAAAAATGTGAATCAACAACAAAAATCAGCGAATATATTGTTTCCCCAATTCATTCATATGTGAGTTGTTTTTCTCAAGGTGAAGCAAGTAGAAAATATGTTATTAGCTTCAATTGTGAGCGCTTACATGCTCTTACATGCATTAACCAAAACATATGCATCACTTTAATTAGGTTTAAATGCTTTCACATCTGTAAGCATGTTTTCTACAAAGCTTAGGGTTCACAAAAGCACCTTCTTGGTTCCAAGGGTGAAGCAGGTAAATGTGTCGCATGTAGAAGCATAAGGTTGCTTACTATGAGAACATCGTATTTTACAAAGTAGACATAAACCTTAAAGTGACACTAAACTAAAGATTTAAAGTGACATTAAAGTCAAAGATATTTTTCCCTCCCCCCAATGTTAATTAAAGCACTTACCTTAAAGGGTTTCTAAACCCTCAGCTTTTTTTGCATTTATTTACTGCTGGAAAGCAGTAGATCTATGCAAAACGTTTTTTTTTTTTTAAACCTGCTTTAATAGTGTTTTAAACTTACCTGTGTCTTCCCCGCACGCTCCCGTCCAAAAATGTGAAAATTCTCGGGCAGCCGCAAAGGATCTTGGGGTGCGTGCATTGCGCAGTTCACATTTCCGATCGGGACGCGAGGAGGGATGCAAGGTAAGCCTATGGACGCGTGCACCTGCATGCAGACACGTGGGACAGGAAGTGCCAGCAAGCCCAGAAGAGTCAGCGCTGGATCGGAAACCTGCCACAGCGCTGGAGAGAAGGCTGAAAACATCAGGAAAGAAGAAGATCGGATTAAGAGACATAATTTAAGGTAAGTGCTGTAATTAACGTTGGGGAGAGAGGAAAACAAAGTTGCCTTTAATGTCACTTTAAATGATGTTTCTTAATCCGATCTTCTTCTTTCCTGATGTTTTCAGCCTTCTCTCCAGCGCTGTGGCAGGTTTCCGATCCAGCGCTGACTCCTCTGTCCTTGCTGGCACTTTCTGTCCCACGGTGTCTGCATGCGGGTGCACGCCGTCCATAGACTTACCTTGTGTCTCTCCTCGTCTCCCGGCCGAAAATGTGAACTGTGCATGCGCCCGCTCCAAGATGCTTTGTGGCCGCCCTCGAATTTTCACATTTTCGGACGGGAGCGCGCGGGGAAGACACAGGTAAGTTTAAAGCGTTTTTTTTTTTTGTTTGTTTTACACTTTCTGCTTGCTAGCTGTAGATATATGCAAAAACACCAGAGGGTTTAATAACCCTTTAACTCCCAAATTTAGTGTCACTTTAAATGGATGACATTGCTAAAGAAAAATGAATATCTTGAGGGCACAGCTAGTACTGCAATTAATTTTGGATCACAGGCTGCTAATCCTATGGGACAGAGGTATGTATCTCTCTCACGTGTTTAATAGATGAGAGAAAGTACTAGGCCACGAGTGTTCCACTCTAACCAGAGGGACAATTCCTATGTTTAAAGTGTACTGGGATTTGAAAGGACAGCGATCTTTGTAGCAATCTGAAATATTTATTAAAATTCAAGAAGGAGGCATTCTGCGGGGATGATTGTTAAGGCAGATGTGAGAACGCAGCAGCTGAAGATTACTGGTAGTGTTGTG